TAGGACATATGTCATTTTTCCAGTGGGCTATGGGCCCATGGGCCGACGTGACTTTACTATATTTAAAATAAATCGACCGTTGGATCATAGTTCGTCCCTTGCAATTCCTCTCTCTCTCTCTCTACGATTCTCTTCCCCACTGTAAAACCCCCATAAGCTTTTGTTCTGAAAATTATTATTTTGTATCTGAAATTTCTGTAATTTACTGCAATGGGGAAGCGCAAATCGCCCCGGAAAGCTTCAGACCGCGAGAAAAAATGGGATGAAATTTTCAACGCGCTCGTAAAATTATCCAAGAATCTGCAGACGGAGAGACAATTTCTTGAAGATAGGATCAAATACTTGCACGAAGTCATTCATAAGGTAAAAATATCATCTTTTTGTGGGGCCGTTTTGTAAATTCTGAACTTTTGAGTCACAGTTAGGGTTTTGAGTTTTGAGTAATGTCTGATAATGGGGGTTTCTCCGCGCAGATGAAGATGGATCAGAAATTTGAGGCTTCGAGAGCTGAATTCTTTCTGGGTTTGAAGGAGAGGGAGGCTTTCGTGTACAAGCATAGATATGGTTAGCTTTTTCTTTTATTTTTTTATTTTTATTTTTTCCTAATCTAAAAAAGAGAACATTTTTATGCTTTCGTGTTCAATTCTTGGGATTAGTCAGATGCAGTTGGGAGAAGAACAGAATGTTTATGAAGTCGAAGTTGCGTGAAGAGTTTAACTTTGAAGCTAGATATTTGTTTTGATCTGAGGTTCATTCTATTTGTGTGTGTATGTGTATGTGTATGTGTGTACTTGAGGTTTTCTCGTACTCGTTTTCTTCGTTGGATGTTGTCTGAATTGTTATAGAGATACTTGTAACTCATGCCGAGATCAATATAAATTAGACTTTTACAATGAAGAATTATGTTAAAGCAAAATTGTGACTCTTGATTTAGAAACCATGAAGGTGTGTAGTATGTAAAAGATTCTAAACCACGATTAAGTTTTAGATGCTTTAGACCTGTTATGCATTATACTTATCATTATTATTAATTTTTTTGTTTTTTTTTTTCATATTTTAACCTTTTGTATGTGAAATGTAGAGAATGTCGACAGTGAACTAGCAGATTTCAGACAATGGTTTGACTACCTCGTGCAGAAATGTGAGGAGCCTAAGGTAATGCTCTGTACTCTTTTGTTTTTTTGTTTCTTTTCCAATTGCTACAATATTTTTGAAGTTTTTACCATAATTGCAGGATGATGTTAGTAGTAAAGGGGAAGGCTCGCGGAACAAGGCACTTCAAAACGAGGTGAAGAAGCTGAAGTGCGAAATCGAGAAATGTAAGTCGGATAAGAACACTGAGATTTCCGCTCTCTTGGCCGAGAAGAATTTTGTTTGGCATCAACTGAAGAAAACGGAGGACGATTTGAACAAAGAAATAAAGAGGAAAGACGAAGAAGTCAAGCAAGCACATGAAAGGCTTCGTCTCATTGTAAACGCGTCAACGGAATTGCAGGTCTCGCATGAAGAATTAAGAACCGATTTCTCCAGGCTGGAGTCGGATTCGGTTCAAAAGAGTGAGGAAATATCGAGACTTTTGAAGGAAATTGATCTCCTCAAATCCAGGTCCGAGTCACCTTCAACTTTGTTGCATCCTTGTAGGGCATCAGAAAGGAGAGGAAAGAATAGGGGTGGTGATACCAGTAATGGAGGAGGGGTTATAAAAGTGAAAAAAGAAGCAGATAACTCACGAAGCTCTGGGAAGGTGACTTTCTTCTTGTTCCTTTTTTTTTTNNTCATATTATCTTCATGCTTGCCTGTGACTTTTGGTGTTTGCTTTTGTGAGGTTCATGGGATGTGTCTTCGTGGACCAGTTTACTGAAGTTGTCTGTCATATGATTTGAGGAAAATTTTAATTTTTTCTGTTTTGTTGGTTTTGCTTAGAATGATTTTCTTGAAAATGAATGAAGTATGCAGCAGTGACTGTTGGATCGATACTTTCTCATTGTTGGGATACTGAAAGCCATTTGTAGGTTTTCAGTGAAATACACATTTTGACTTAGTGAGCCAGTCAGCCAGCCTATGAACCATTTTGACTTAGTTTTTCAGTTAAATACACATTTTGACTTAGTTTTTCAGCCGTAATTTGCCCATTCAGCATGATTGGTTCTCATTGTCGAGTAGTAGTTAGTTTCAAATAATTTGGAAATTGTAGTGTTGAAATTTATTTTGGTTTTTTCAAATTCTCCATAGTTTGTTATATACGTTCACGTAGCAACTTATTCATTGTGAATTTTGACAAACATTTCTGGATGTTTGTAAATTAGAACTCTGTTTGTCGGCCTATTTCAAAAATTTCTTCTCGAAAATCATAAAATGTTTGGCTACTCTAAAATCCTTTTTGACTTGATAATATGGAGCTTCAGTTAAGTTGTCAATCTGTACTATGTGTATCTGCAGATATCTCAGACAAAGAAAACTGCTCGTACGTCGGCTGGAGGAAAGGCTCCCAAAAAGCAATTCACGACGGTATGATAAAAAGATTTTGAAATTGAAAGTTCAAAAGGCTGAATGAGTACTGGGAAAAAAGATTTCAAGGGTGAAAATGAAATTGTTTAACCGAAATTTTAATAAGTCGATATCTAAGGCATTCGGAAGTTCCAATAATTATCGTTTGTCAAGTTCTATTTAAAACTCGACTGGCTTGTTCCTGCAGGGAAGTACGAGCAGTAGCAATAGTTCAAAGAGGAAAGCTGTTGAAGTTATTACGATTTCAGATTCCCCGAGATTGTTCACGTCCAATTTCAAAGTTCCTAAGTTAAAGCCTTCGGCATCTCCGAAAATTGATTGAATTCTTCTTCCATGCTTTGCCAGCGGGTCATTTTAGAATTTTTTTTTTTTTTTTTGT